AAAATTGACGACGCAACAACTCAACAAGAGTATGAACAATTGAAAGAGGAAATAAAAAGGATACTCAATGACACGAACAGTGACCATTTAAAGAAACTGTATTTAATCGATGCAGTTCAACGCCTAGGCGTTGATTACCACTTTGAGAGAGAAATAGAAGATGCACTAGAGAAGATACACCATGACGGTGTTGATTGCTCTGATCTTTATAACATCGCTCTCTGGTTTCGAGTGCTTAGACAACAAGGAATCAATGTCCCATCTGGTTAATCCTTTTCCTCTTTCTTAACATTAAAGAAATAGATTTAATTTTCATGTTATATGTGTCAATTGCCCCTTAACTTGTTCTTCGTTTTGTGGTAGATGTATTTAAGAAGTTTATGAATGAGAATGGCAAATTCAAGGCTGACTTAGTGAATGATGTCCCTGGCATGTTGAGTTTGTACGAGGCTGCTCATCTTGCCCTACCAGATGAAGATATCCTCGATGAAGCCATTGCTTTCACAACCTCTAATCTTGAATCTATTTCAACACAAGTAAGCACTCAGTTAGCAGAACAAATAAGTCGTGCACTGAATCGACCCATTCGCAAAAACTTGCCAAGATTAGAAGCAAGGCATCACATCTCTCTATATTCCAAAGATGATCGTTTTGATTCCAACAATGGACAACTATTAAGATTTGCAAAATTAGACTTCAACCTGCTACAAGCATTTCTGCGGAAGGAGCTCAGTAGCATCACTGAGTAAGTTCAATTAAATAGGTGAGTTAGGCTTTAACTTCATTATGTACATCAAAGGTCTTTTATGGCTTGACTATCTATTTCAGGTGGTGGAAAAAACTGGACTTCACAGCAAAGCTACCTTTTGCAAGGGATAGATTGGTAGAGTGCTATTTTTGGGCAATGGATGTCTATTTTGAGCCCAAATACTCTGTTGCAAGAATATTTTTGACCAAAGTATTGATATTAACATCTGTTATGGATGATATTTATGATAACTATGGGACCTATGATGAGCTCCAACTCCTAACCAAATGCATTGAAAGGTTAAATTTCTTGTTTTCAATCAATTCTCTTCATATTTGATGTTTTTGAAATGGAACCTATTGAGTTCTTTAATTAACTTGAAGCTTAGGTGGAACGTTGCTGTTATAGATCAACTTCCAGAATACATGAAATTATATTATCAAGCACTATTAGACATTTACAGTGAAATGGAGGAGGAAGTTGCAAAGGAAGGAAGATCATATGTTGTACAACATGCGAAAGAGTCGGTAAGACATTCTCCTTATTAATTAAGATCATATTATCCTCTTAGTATGCATTATTAATTATAAACCTTGTTCACTTTAACAGATCAAAAGAGTTGCTAAAGCCTACCTTGTTGAATCAAAGTGGCGTGAAGAAGGTTATGTTCCACCACTTGAGGAGTATATGAAGAATGCTCTAATTTCTTCTAGTTATCCAATGGTTGCAACAAATTCATACGTTGGAATGGGAAATGTTGCATCCAAGGAAGCCTTTGAATGGATTTTTAATAACCCTAAGATTCTTATGGCTTCTGCAATTATCTGTAGACTCATGGATGATATTGTCACACATCAGGTATATAATATACTATTTATTTATGCTTTTTAGAATCAAATCAGTTTTTGTACAATTAATATATATATATATATATATCTGTGTACACAAAATTTAATATATGCAGTTTGAGCGGGAGCGAGGTCATGCATCCTCAGCTGTCGAATGCTACATAAAGGAACACGGTGTTTCAAGAGAAGAAACAGTGAAGATTTTCCGCAAAGAAATTGCGGATGCATGGAAGGTAATCAATGAAGGTTGTATGAAACCAACTGCCTTTCCGATGCCTCTCCTCACTCGCATTCTCAACTTAACGCGTACCATGGATGTGATGTACAAAGATGATGATGCCTACACAAAGTCTTACTTGCTCAAGGACACAATTGCCTCGTTGCTTGTGGATCCTGTTATTGTTTGAGTCTATTGGAATTTTGAAGCTCCAGCTTTGTGAAAGGATATGCGCGGGATTGTGTTGTTCTTTATGTACTTCAACTTTGTTGCGACAATAAGAGTTCTAGGGGGCTCAACAGAACTTATAATGTTTCTCTGTGACTTAATTGTGTCGTGATTTTAATTAAATCTATAAATCTTATTATAAA